GGCTGTGACCGGGCGGTGGGGCAGGCGGTGGGGCTTGGCGGGCCTCCCTGGGGCCGGGGCGGGTTGAGGGGGGAAGGCTGCGGGGCGGCCCTGTGGAGGGAAAGGCCCGGGTGGGCTGCAGGTGTGCGGGGCGTGCTCCCAGCGGCCCAGGCGGACAATAGCGGCAGGAAACTTCACGGCCTGCGGGGTTCACGGCGCCTTTCCCCAAATAACGCCCGTTCCGTGGCAGCTTCCCGGTGGGCTGGTGCGTGTGGGGGGAGAGGTGAGGGCTCCGCGCTGTGTGTCTCTCCGTGTCAGCCGCAGGGCGGGAGGAAGGGGCAGGGAGACAATGGGGTGAGGGGCTGGGGCTGCAGCCGGGGGGCTGTTCGGCAAGGGGCCTGCCAAGGCGGGCAGGCAGGGTGCTTTCAGGAGCTCTATAAAAGAGGTGGGTCGCTCTTTCCACATGGGGGAGGATACGAAGGTGTTATCGAAGCGTTTTAACATAAGGGGTTAATTCTTTTCTCTGCAGTGAGTACTACCTCTGAATACTCTCCCTCAGTGCGGAAGAGGGCTTTTAGGCTTCTCCAGGTGGACTAGACAAATGAGCGGTATTTGAGAAAGTGAGAGGGCAGAAGGATACAAGCAAAGGGCCAGATTTAATAGGGAATGTGGAAATAGTGGAAGGGTTGCAATGTCAGATCCGTTGTGCTACTAAGAATGGAGCTGAATTTCAGTGTAAAATGAAGATGATGGTTACCTCTTGTGGTCTTTTGAGAAATGACAGTTGCGTGCTTATTGCATAAAATGTACCATTTTTTGTCATATTTCACAGCCTTTGTTCGTAGGATTGAGGGCTACTAACAGTTAGAAAATGAAACAAGATCCTGTCTTTTCATAAGGCTCCTGCTGTAGTAAATTAATTGACCAATTTGCTGTTGTCAAATAAAGTGTACAACTATTTTATTTTCCTAAGGTACGTTTACATTCTCTTTGTATAGTCAATTTTGGTGTTTTTCAGATTTTGTGTTGATTGTCCTTGTTCGCCCTACAGACTTTTTCCAACAAAAAGAAGGAAAGGAAAGAAGGGAAAAGAAGAGTTGAATGTTTTTTCTTTAGAAAAAAAATAAAATGTCTATCTTTGTTTGCAATTTCCATTTGGAAACTAAAGATACCTTCTTCTTAAATAATATTAAAGTGTTGGGTATTAATTTAAATAAGTTTTTTTCATCACTTGTAAGTACAGCGGGGAGTGATTACTGCACTTTGCTAATTTTGATTATTTTTTTTTCAGTCATCATTTGAGAGTGCCCAAATAATTTGCTGACAAAAGAGAGTGATCTTGAGTGCCTAATAGTGACCTCCAACTTTCAAAAGTTAAACAATTGGTCACAGAAATGTTGAAGAGCAAAGATTCTCAGTTCCTATTTTTCCCAAGGGCATCTTAACATGAGATAAAAAAGATAGCTCTTAGCAAGTTTCAAGTATCATGCCTTAGGTTGAATAAAACTACATTAAGGGTTTATTTCTTTTGGGTAAAATATGCCGCTTTTGGAACGGAGGCTCCTGTTGGAATCCAAAAGATTCAAAGATTAATCTTTTGTTCATTAAAATGCATGGGAAAAGGCAGGCTAAGATGCAAGCTAACCAAGTAAGTGTAGTAGTATGTTTACTTTCTTCCATTTGTAAAAGTAGTTTCAAAAAAATCTGAAATCTGAGTAATAGTAGACACCGCTGATTTAAATAATTTCAGTATCCTAAAATAATTCTCTAGGATTCTGGAGTCTTTCTTTGAAAATCTTCAAGATCAGGTTTTGAATAGGAAAATATAGATAGACTCTGGGAAGCCTGGAATTTATATTTAAGATCGAATTTTAGGTTACCATCACTGGAAAGAAACTCTGAACTTTTTCTCTTGATAAGGAAGTAAACCATCAAGAAACTGGGACGGGGGGAAAAAGGTGGGAGTAGGAATGATATTGGAAGGCAAAGAAACAGGAAGAACCTTTGTAGTCAGTTTCTTGTTACGTATTTATCGTCATAGTGTGTGCCTATGCTTTCGTTAAACTATCGGGTCCAACACCTCAGCAATGGCAAGGGCCAGACAAGATGCTTAGAACATTCTTCCCTTTCCCTGTGCTCCATGGTTTGCACAACCTCCTTTGTGGACTGTAGCAGCAATTTTTTCCTGTTGATCAAAATCAGCAGCCTTCACCTTTCAAACCACAGCAGGCTTCAGTAGAACAATTTGTCTATGAAGAGTTTGCAGAATAAAATTTTTCCCTGGATTGGGAGAGACAAAGATGTTGGACTCGGAAGCATTTTGTGGTCTGAATTTTACCTGTGGAGCACCAGTTGGATCACACTAAGCAATGCAATTAATGTCTTTTGAGGACATAAGTTTTCTATCGTTCTCTCTATAAAGGAAGAAATGCCTGGCTTGGAAAGATTTTGTTTAGATGGTTTGAGGTACTTTAAAAGTCTGTCCTTTATTCTACAGGAGCCAGGTCAGGTATCCCAGAGCGCATGTAAGATAGGATGAACCTTTCGTATTATCTTTACAGAACAGACTAGGGATTGGGCACTTTCCAACGCAAAACCAGTTGTCTTATATGATCTTGTACAAAAATTTGCCCAGTAATACATTTTCTACGCTGGAGCTGCCCCCTAAAACTGTGTTTGATCTCTTCCTTAGTTACATTGGAGGTGATGGCGGAAACATTGATCCTTGTCCATTCTTTCCATCCTCTTCATGATTGTATACTTCTCTGAAGTACTTCCTCTCTCGTCCTTTTCCCCCAACCCTCCAATCCAAAGAATCCCAGTCTACTTAGTTGTTCTTTGGATGGAGTCCTTTGCTGCTTACAGCTGATTGTTACTAACTCATCATGACTTGGTAGAACAGGAAAAGTTTTTGGCAGGTGGGAGAAGAGAAGACAAGAGAGTTATAACTGTTGGGAGGATCAGAACTGCACATAGTATATGTGTGCTTCATGTTTTTACAGAGTGGTTTAATGAATTTTAGGATTTTGTTCTCCGCTCCACCTCTACTAAATCCTGTTTAGCTGCTTTTTAACTGATATTTTTGTG